CTCATTAGAGGGGGGGCACATGCTCATTCCTTGGGAGACATACCTGCTGAGAAGACACATGGAGAGAGGCTGATGGAGCCCTAGGAGCCACGTGGAGACCCCTACCAGCACTGAGATGCTTACAACACCACTAGATTCACAAGACTTCCCACCCACTGGCCTGTTATCTTCCTGCATTCAGCAACATTGCATGTGTTTCATGAGTCTGAAGGGAACTTTATAGATTGATATCAGACACATGCGCTAATATAGGATTTATGGAATTGATCTGGATTGGGCTGCGATGTTTTCTCAATATTCAACTGCTTTTGTATATAAATCTCTTTTTTATACACATATAAGTGTCTATAAATTTGTTTCTCTAGTCAACTCAGACTAACACAAAGCTGGATTCAGAAAGGAGGTAGAATGGGTATACCATTGCGGATGTCAGCTAGATTTTAATTGAAAGTAAAAAAAAAATTAGAAAGTTTTTTTCCTGTCTATATTTATTATGCAAAGACATTGGACTATATGAATCATAGCAAACTATGAATAACTTTGAGATGTATGAGAATCCCAGAGTATATATCATTGTGCTCATAAAGAATCTGTACATAGACAAAGAGGCCATAATTCAAACAGACCAAGAGAATGGCTAGGGGTGTATCTCAGTTGTGTCCTTTCACCATCTGTATGCTGAGCAAAAAATATGCGAATTTGTATGCTGAGCAAATAATCTGTGAATTTGGACATGAAGAACATGACATCAGATTGAAAGAAGACGATTAGCAACCTATGATATACAGATGACACAGCCCCGCTCTCTGAAGCAAAGAGGACTTGAAGTACTTACTGATTGTGATAGGTTTATTGTGCCAACCTGGTCCATAGGAACTTGTGGAATTAATCAGTTTGATTGGAAGGCAAAGGGATGTTGCTCTGCAAGGTCTGCCCCTCTCTTGTGCTGCTGCCTTAGCTAGTTCTCTGCCTCATCCTGTGAGCTAGAATACCGGTGGGCCAAGACAACCCATGAATTGTGTTGCTAGAACTTGAGGCTCCTTCAAGACCTGCTTTGCCACACTGCTTATGTGTACATCACTTGAGCTTGAGGCGGGTGGATTCTGTTGCCTTGCATTGCTTGAGTTTGATAGCCTATCCAGGCCTGCTCCGCTAAGCTCCCAAACTAGTGACTGTTGCTGACCTGTCCTGCTGTTGGCTGCCTTGCCTAAGGGAGGATTCTGAGATCTGCTTCCTTTACCTTGGACCTGGCAGTCCTTGTGAGTTGAAAGACTTCCAGTATATTAACTCTTCCATGGAAGTGAGTTGAACTGAGCCATCTGCACTGTTGTGTGGACTAATTAGCTGTTATATTCTTTCTTGCTGTATAAACCCATCCTGATATATATAGAAATATATATAGATATTCATAATTGTCCTGGTTTTGTTTCTCTAGAGAACCTGATTAACACACTGATTAAATCAGACTACAGCCTTCAGTATAGATTATACCTCAACATTAAGAAAACAAAAATCCTCAAGATAAAATGATAAAAACAATCCTCAAAACCTCAAAATGATATGATAAAATATATAAAGTATTGATCTATCAATTATTTGATTTTACTTGAATCCAGAATCAATGTCCAAGGAATGACTAGATAAGAAAGAACATATTTCCTTGGACAAATCTACTGGAAAAGAGCTCTTTGAAGTCTTCCAAAGCAAAGATATCACTTTAAGGACTAAGCTGCACCTGACCCAAGCCATGATAATTTTAATTGCCTCCTATGCATATGAAAACTGGACAATGAATAAAGAACGCTAAATAGAGAGCAGTCCCTTTAAATGAATGTGCTGGCAAATAATATGTTATAGACCATGGAATTCCAGAGGACTGAACACCAAGAATGCTGCTTAGAAGTGAAGATGGTTAGACTTAGTTTTATTTGATTTGAATAGTATATCAGCGAAAAGCAGTGCCTAGCGAAGGACATGGTGCTTGGTCAAGTAGAGGCTCAACAAAAGTGATGAAGCCCCTCAATAAGAGGGATCGAGACAGTCATTGCCACAATGACTCAAACAGAGCAACAAGTGTGAAGGTAAGGCAGGACCGACCTAATGACATCCAATGACAACATATCTATCTTCAACAGTACATGAAAAGAAGATGGGAGGAATACATAGTCACTTTGACAAAATGAAATGGTCAACATTCAACATTTTGAGATCTCATGGTGCTTAAGGAAGAAATCCAAACTTCACTGAGACGTTACTGAAAAATAAGATTTTAGGAATTAGCAGGATGCCTATTAAAATGTTTAAATAAACTGATGCAGTTTTAGGCAACTCAGTAGTCCATGCCAACAAATTTGGAAGTAAGCTAGCTATCTAGCTAACCAACTAGAAGAGATTTATATATTACCAAGTAGAATAAAGAGATTATCTATCAATATCATCAATATTACATGCAAATAAAATTTTACATAAGATAATCCAAAAACACTTGCAATAGTACATACAGGGAACTACCAGAAAATAAAACTTTAATCAGAGCAAATAATCCTAGAAGCAGTACTATATATATTTTACGAACTACTGTATCAGGATCAGAGGAAGACTCTTTATAACAGCCTATGATCTAGAAATGACAAAGTTGATTGCTGAGAGTGATGAGGATTTAAAGCACTTACTGATGAAAATCAGAGAATGCAGCCTAGAGTAAGGATTGTAACTCAGTATAAAGAAAATAAAACATGCTCGCCCGTTGGTCCCTGAGATAAACACATGTGGGGTTAATTGAAGGGCGGAGAGATAAATGGCTCCGTGAGCCTCCCCTTTCTAGAGTTTCGGAGGCTATACCTTTTTGGTAGCAAGCAGCCTCTCTTTTAAAGAGAAGCTGGTGAGTTTAAACTGATAACTTTGACCTGATGTTTGATGACTGGGTTAGCCGGCTTCCCTAGAGAAGCAAAACCAGTGACTCTTGTATGCAGATGTGCAGCAAAGGAAATTCAGATCAAGAAATGGCTCACATTGTTGGAGAATTGGTAAAGCCGATTTGGTTCTAGTGCTTGGGTCAGACGTAAACTGAAAGCTTCTCCTGACTCTTGGAGTTTTAGGGGCTGATGAGTGGGAAGCCGGTGAAGCAGGGACAGTACAGGCTGGTGGATGCTGAGCTGAATCAACCCAAGATTGGCCAAAATGAATCCAAGGTTGGCTGTTCACTGTTGGCCCCTGGATTCAGCAGGCCACGTGACAGGAGGTTGATGAACCACATTTGGTGGTTTCCAAATCCGGCTAGTTTCCAGACACTGTCAATTTATACTAAGAGTAGGTTGCGGCCCGGAATGAAGCCTCCCTCAAATGTAGCAGGGCTGTGACGGGTTAAGGAGGCATATTCTCCCCCTAGTGGTGTAGTGGTTGTGCTCAGAAGTCAGCATTGACTGCATGGCAGTGAGTTTGATTTGGCTTTTGGGGTCTCCCCACAATTGTTTGACTGCTTCATAGATGATCCCATGATGGAGTTGACCACACTATGTCATATCATGGGAGAACCCCCGCCACCATGCTGATGTAAAACCTGTCACAGTGGCTTCACCCCTTAACCCACAGCCCTACCAGGGTTATAATATACTTCTCAGACTCATAATGAATTTTGTATACCTTCTAAATTAAGATAGTGTGATATTTTTAATTTGAGCTATCACCTTAGTTTAATGTATGCTTTGCATGATTTTTCAAATTTCAGAGTCATAAAAGTTTAAGCTAATTAAAGAAGTAGGTGCTGTGGCTAAGTGTTATTCAGTTGATTTCTACTTACAACAACTCCATGTGATAATGTAGACCTACTGACTATAGGATTTTCTTGACTCTAATATTTAAAACAGTAGACTGTCAGGAGAATCAGGTGGACTTCAACCAAGAATGTTTTTCTTAACAACAATGCACTGCAATTGCATCAATCAAAACAACAACAGCAAAAACCAAACAATGCCATCGAGTCTACGCCAACTCATAACAGCCCTAAGGGACAAAGTAGAACTGCCCCCTGTGAGTTCTCCAGACTGGAACACTTTATATAATTGTAGAACGTTCTGTCTTTCTGTAATGTTCCGTCTTTTATAAAATACATATCAACAATTGGGAGGGCAGTCACAGACTGGTGTTTATACGATCACGTCAGAGCTCACTCAATTGCACTTTGCAGCAGCGTATTGAACTCATTGCCATCAAGTCACTGCTGACTGATGGCATTGGGTTTGTTTCTGAGAATATAACTGTTTATGAGCATAGAAAGTCCAGTCTTTCCCCTGCAGAGCTGCTGGGGTCTTTGAATCGCCACGCATGCAGATCGCAGCCCAACACAGAACCACTACCCCATCAGAGCAGCATCTGCATTATTTACCTAAATATATGCCCATATGTTACAACGTTGAACAATACCTAAGTAATCCAATTAAACGGGACATCAGCAAAGTCTTCCTCGTGGGCTTTAACTACTTTTCACTCCGCATTCAACAAGTTGCTGGTCCCCAGCAGCAGCTCTTTAAAGTCAAGGGATTCTTTTCAAATGATGACAGATACAGAGTGAGTCCACCAGATGTACCCTGGAAGAAAGGCCTAATCATCCACTCTCAAGAATATCAGCCACTGTAAACTCCGTGGAGCACAATTCTACCCTTACACCTCTGGACTGCCTGAGTTGAGATCAACTCCACAGCGGCTGGAAAGGAAAAGAAAGGAAGGAAGGAAGGAAGGAAGGAAGAGCCTACAAAGGAGAATACGTTTAACAATGTTCAAGTTTTACAATAATATTTATTATTTGTCTTTAATTACATATTATCAATATATAATATATTATATATTTTACATATATGTAAACTAATATTTATTATTAGTGGGTCATATTTTCCCTGAATTTTAAATGTGCATCTTTTATTGTGCTTTTTCCCTGTGAAGAAATTAAAGAAGGAGGAGATACTGAAGAGAAAAGTGAGATGAGTTGTTATAGAATCATCATAGTCTACGGCCATACCACCCTGAACGCGCCTGAACTCATCTGGTCTCAGAAGCTAAGCAGGGTCAGGCCTGGTTAGTACTTGGATGGGAGACCACCTGAGACTACTGGGTGCTGTAGACTTAAAAAAAAAATCATGATGAGTGCAAAGAAGCGGTAAAATAAATGGATTTTGAAAGAGTATTGACTTAAGGGATTTCAGAGCTGCTGCTAGTCTATTGTTGTGAGCTGTCATGTTGACCACATATGATATCGCAGAGCTACTCCATTGCTTCCCTAACCGGCAATTTTTGAGAGAGCAGATCTTTCCCAGCTCTTTTCTTCTTTGCGCACCTGGTAGGTTTGAACCACTGCCCTTAAAGCTAGCAGGTGACTGCTTAACATTTGCACTGCCCCAAACCCAAGGTATAATCATACGTGAAGTTATGAGTTTCTAGTGCTGAGAGTCAATAGTTGGTAAGTTAAAGTTCAAACATATTATGTGCACAGGCAAGGAGTTTAAGAGTTCATTGTGGAGGACAAGAGGGGTGAATCAGTTGCCAGAGTCCTTTTTCATGAATCTTCGCATTTACAGCAAAAGCTGTTTCTTCTGCCTGGAATGTCTTTACAACCACCCATTTGCCTGTCAAACTCCTATGCTTTTTCAAGTACCAGCCCAAATATCAACCACTCTATGAATCACTGCCTATGAATCATGTCAAATTAATTCCTCCAAGCTCTCTGATCTTATAGCACTTTATTCCCACCTTGATTATAGCATTTAACAGATTGAGTTGTATCTATACTTTTATAAATACATTTCTCCATAAACTGTGAATGCCACAATGGTAGTCACCAGACTGCAATCCCTCTGGTAAATTCCATCACACAGCCAATGCCTGCCAGGCATCTGGTTCACAATATTATATTTATTAAGTAAAATAATGTATAAATAAGTAATAGCCAACATGGGGACATACAAGAAAGAATAATTAAGTCTTGTTCAAGAGACAGGGAGACATTCACTTAAAATGAATCAGTCAAACCCGACTTTTCAAAGGTCTTAGGTTTAGCTAATTATAGAACCAGAAGAAAAATCTTGCTTGAGTAATGATAGAAGCCAAAGCACAGCATGAGCAGAGGCTGAATGCATTCAGAAATTATATGGATCATCATTCATTAGTGAATTTGTTTAATAGATATGTGTTCATCACTCCTATAGCCCACATATTGGTGAAGTAGAATGAATAAAAATAAAATAATAATGTAATTTCCTTGTCATCAAGGATCTTAACAAGCTCCTCTAAAGTCAACCCCTAATGACAACCACTGGTCTAATTTCTGTGACCATAGCTTATTTTGGCTCTTTTCCATTTGGTTTCTTTTCACTCAGCATGATATTTTGTAAGATTCATCATTTGTTCTGTGTATCATTAGTTTGTTGCTCTTTATTGCTGAATAGTAGTACCTGCTCATCTGTTCAGGAGACCCGGTGAGTCAGGGAACACATTGGGCTGCTGACGGCAAGATCAGTAGTCCGTAATCACTAGCTGGTCCAAGGGAGAAACACAAGGCTTTCTACTGTGTAAAGACAAGCGATCTCAGAAATCCGCAGGAGCAGTTCCATCCGGCTCTCTAGGGTGGTTATGAGTTGAATTGATATGATGACAGTGCATTTCTTTCTTGGTTTCTTCTTCTGCTAATGAATATGTGGATTTATTATTCACATTATATATTATTCATAGGATTACTGATTCATAGGCCAAGTATATATTTGAGCCAATAAGAAATGGGAAACCTTTTCCCCACATGATTGCTTAATTTTTACATTAAGAACAGTAGTGTATAAGGGTTCTGCTATCACCCACCCTATGCTTTCTAGTAACTCCCATTTTCAGTATAATTTTAAAGTTTTAAATCATTCCAGTAATTGTTTTAATTTTCAATTCCATGATGACCAATGAAGTCAAGCATTTTATAGCTTTATTCATTATTTATACTTTTATGTGTGTGAAATAACTCCTTAAGAATGGTTTTTAAGAAAGAATAGGCAAGACCCAACTGTAGAGAAGTTGAAAATATGGAACCAAAACACGAATTCGGAGAATACGTTCTTGGAGAGAAACAAATATCATGCCCATGGATACAACTTTTATTACAAAAATCAAGTTTGTGAATTTTTCTATCTTCTAATTTTGTTGCATCGGGCCTCAAATGTGTTCTTAGAACATCTTAGATAAGTTGTGTTTTTTACTACATACTAGCCTTTGCTGATTTTGACATTGCATGTGATTTCAAGAACACTGTTTTCTTGCATGTAACAGGCATCCAGCAGTCACATGAATCCACAGCAGAATTTGGATGCAAATACGGAATACATGAAGTAAGCTATGTCACACAGCTGAAAACATATAAAGAGTTTTCTGAAGGTCAAAAGCAAGGAAGGATAAATATGACGTACAGTCGATAAAATTATATAAAATAATGACCAGAGATGAATAAAATGATTATACATGCTGCAAATCTATGAGAAGAAAATGTAAGTCTTTGAATTTAATGACAGTCTAACATCTGTGTCATTTAAAAGCAGTCGCTTTCTAATAAACATTCCACATTAGTAATACATTCTATGTGAAAACCAATGACATAAGATTTAAAATTTTAATTTCCCTGCATGGTTTTAATGACAATGTATTTTATATGTAATAAAATCCACACATGGTAATCGTAAACAAAATAGAAACAACGATCTTATTTCAGTTAAAGTTTACTTTCCTTGACAACCTCACTTGCCGCAACCTTTCATCTCACAACCACACAACAGCCTCACGAGTCAAGTGTTGGCTGACGCATCATTTTCAGCTCCATGCAGTGGACCACCGAGAAATAAATATTCACAAATACAAAGTTCATCTCTTTGTTCCTTGCCTTCCTTCTGTTGCAAGAACTATAACAAAAATCAAATGAATAAAGACGAGAATTGTAGTCTGCATTTTAGGATTGTTAAAGGTTTCTCTGTTTCTGACAGTTTGGCTTTCTTTTGTCATTTTCTCACTTAAATGTTGTAAACTCAGAAAGTGCTAAGCTAAGATTCTTTATGTAGTGTTACACATGCCATAAGACAATATTATTTTACCATGTCAAAGTTGTTTGCACCATTTGGAGCACATCTATCATCAAAGCTCAATTAAATGGAGTCTTTCTATCTTCAACTAAAACAAACTGTTTACTTAGATTTGCTCAGTGTTTACTTCACAAGAGGTAGAAGACCCAAATAGCGCACTAACATAGGTGTCTGGGGATAGACCAGAGGTCAAAACATTCAACCCAAGGAAGGAGGCCCTCTCTTTTGGTTGCAACAAGAGACTTTCTTTTTCTTTTGCCAAGTAAATGGCTGCATTATAATGTTATTCATACCTGACTGGTGTCCTTACAATTCCTCTATTCAAACTGAAAAGGGATATATTCTCTTTGTTGCAAAGTATTAAATTTGTCCCTTGAGATTAGTGTATAGGCAGTTTTAAAGGATGAAACAGGATTAGATAAGGTTTCCTCACGAGAAAGAGTTCTGAAACAGTACGGCAAATCCCCCTCATATTACTTATATTGAAAAAAATCTTTTGTTTTAGCACTTCAAATCACAAGTCACATTCAGTAAATTATTTGTTGACAAAATGATTCTTTGTGAGGTTTTGTGAAATATAGGCAAGTTACAATTCACATATAGGGGGAAAAGATGACACTTGTCTAATTTTATTTGAGATTTTATATATTTGAAATCCCTCTATGAAATGTATAATTTAAATGTGATCTAAGAGGCTGATATAAAAAGATGATCGTAATTTAGGTTATCTGCTTAAAGAGTCAGTACAGTTCAGCTTTTCTTGGTGCTGAGAGAAGGGTTGAACATCATAGTACATCTTAACGCAACTCAGACAACATTTGTTCAATTTAAGAGAGTCCGAATGAGGCCGTGGAAACCTCAGAAATGTGTTGGTTGTTCATTTCACTTATTCAGTTACAGTTAATGATGTTGTACACCACAGGCAGATATGAATGAGTATTCTCATCATTTTCCAAAACAAAACAAAAGCTATCAAACATTGATAAATGTTTCTTTAGAAGGAAAACAATAGCTTATAACAAGAGATTCCTTCTCTGGTTACATTCCAGACAGTCCAAAACCAAACCCATCACTCAGAACCACCCTAAAGAACAGAGTAGAACGGCCCCAAATGGCTTCCAATGTTGTTATTTCAATGGAAGTCGGCTGCCACACTCTTCTTGGGCAGAGCCCCGGGGGGTTCACTCTGCTGAGTGAGCCCCTGTTAGCAGCCAAGAGCGTAAGCACTCGGAATTACTAGGCAAACTGCTACAAGAGCGCATGGTGACTGAATTCTGCTGCAGGTTTAGTGTACAGAATCGGACAGGGACCAGGTCAGACCTCCTAAATTCCAGGAGCTTCTTCACTTTCGACTTTGACAGCAAGCCACAAATACCACTTTTCTTAAATGTTCCTACACACAAGGGTGTGTGTGTGTGTGTGTGTGTCCATAAATGACTCGGGAGGGCTCTCAACTTTTGTCCCTGTTGTTTATTGCCAGTCCATTTTGCCTTGTGTGCACACAGCAGAACTGCTGCAATGCGATTGCAAGGCCGTGACCTTTGGAAATCAGCTATCCAAGCCTGTGTTCCATGATGATGCTGGGTGGACTGGAACCATCAACCTTTGAGCTAATAGGTGAGTGTTTTGCCATTTGCTCCACGTGGGGCTCCTTTAGTTTTTGATCCAGAATATATATCACAACAATTCCTTAATTTAAGAATTTTAGGCTGAAGATTATAATTTTGTTTACATATACAGATTTTGAAAGCTTAAAAAAAAGAATTTTGAATATGAGATTTTTTTGCTCAAAAACCAGAGTGGGAGGGGCGGCGGGGATATTGCTTTCTATCTTAGTGGCACCTTGTCATCTGACAACCAGGAAACCTTCTGCCTGCACTTCTCTTTTTCACATTGCTGCCAGGTTATCAATCTTCCCATTGGAAAGCTCTGCTCATGCCAGTCTAGGCTCACAAATTATCTGAAGCTTTCCACCCGTCTCGAGAACAACATCCAAATTCTTTGGCTTGATGTTTAAAGC